AAAAACGAGTATCTTAGCCACCATGCCAAAACGATCGTCATCGCATGGAGACTATTACTGGTTTGAATAGATATCACATCACCACAATTGTTTGGTAAAAGTTATGTCTTCTAAAGAGAAGTAATACTTTTAGCTACGTACTGCTGCCGAATATTATGTAACGTTCTTCGTAATACTCTTAAATTAATGTCTTCAAAGAAAATAATGTTACTAGACGTCATACACTTTCATATTGACAAATAAAACAGAAAGATATTTACCTAAGTTTGATATAAAATTAAATGGATAAAGCCAAAATTTCATTTCCTTCCGTTATTAGTTGAATTGTTAAATTTTGTTAAAAGCAAGTAATATATATATATATATAATTAAGTCAATTTCTACTTAGGTCCACAAAATAAAATTTTATTTTAGTTACATTTCATTAAATAATTACAGTAAATATAAATATGTACAGTACTGTGCAAATTAATTGGGACAAATATATTTTTAAAAAAGTTGTTCCTTTCTCGGGGATTTTCTGCCTCAAACCCTTTTCAACTGCATTTTTTTGCAACGCACGACTGTCCTTGACTTGTCTGAACTGGTTTAACCACGTGATCATGACATGTGGAAAATGTTTTCCTTTAGTTGCTGAAAGAAGTAGTCACTTGTGTGAATTGTCTCCTTCTGACTTCTATTTAAAAAAAAGTTATATCCACCCCCAGGAAAAGGACTAGAATTGTTACCCTTAGTCAGCACATTTCTGACTGTGAGGGATGTTGCTGCAGCAGTTGGAGTTGGAAAATCCAGTGTTTCAAGGATTATTAATCAGCAAAATAATTTTGGGGCAGTATCTCCAAAACGAAAGAGTAAATGTGTAGGCAAACGTAAGACCGCATCTCGAACAGACAAATTTCTTGTACGAAATAGTGCAGTGCATCCTAACCAAAAAAAAGTAGAGATCTTCAGAGAGAATTATTAGCTACTGGTGTGAGCGTGGATTCATCGACAGTTCAACGAAGGCGTATTGAAGCTGGGATATTTGGAAGAAAACCAATCGAAAAATAGTTATTAACACCTGCAATGAAGAAAAAACGTTTAGATTGGGCCAGAAAATATCAGTCCTGGACTGTAAAAGATTGGAAAAAGGTTGGATTCAAAGACGAACCGCATTTTTTGTGCAAGGGCTTTCGACCAAGATTTGTCAGGCGATGTGGTGGAGAACCCATTAGGGAACAACATATTATTCAAACAGTTAAGCACCCTCAGAAACAGATGTTTTGGTTTTTTTTTACTTCTAGAGGACCTGGCAGCTTAGTACCAGTTGAAGGGATGATGAACTCTAAACAATACATATTTATAACAGAAAGTAAAATTGTGTCTATGATGCAAACGTTCACTGGTGATGTTGGTATCTTTCAACAAATTCTTGCTCCGTACCATACTTCTAAGATAACAACGATTGTTTTCAAAAACAGGAAATACCAGTTTTGGATTGCCCTGGTAGTTCTCCAGATGTAAATACCATCGAAAATTTGTGGAGCATTGGAAAGAGACGTGTGAGTAAAATTTACAGCTCGACAAAGAAAACAATGATTGAGAATACTATAAAAGTTTCGTTTCGTGATGACGAGATCAAAAATTTATGTTCTAATTTAGAGGAGTCCATGCCAAACCGTGTACGGGTTCTCATTCAAGTTAGAGGAGGACATATTTTGTTTTAGATTGCTATACCGTGCATGTAAGTTAAGGTATCCGACTACCCTAAAATCATGATTAGTTTGAAAAATTGACAAATTTTTTTAAGATTTTATTTTATAGGCCATCTTATTAGCTTCATAAAAGTACCAAAGTTTTTATTTTCCATTCAATAGAGCAAAAACTACAGGTGTTTTAGTAAAAGCAGGTGCCATGACTTTACATAAGATGACAAAATTTAAAATGCGTTTTACTCGAAATGTGTTTTTTTCCCCCGAAAAACTCAAACGAGATCAGCGATTGCTCAAAAAGTTTTTAAAATAATTTGCTGAAATTTTGTGTTTATGTTCTGTATAACAGTAGAAGTCTTTTAACTTTCAGATTTATCGATCACTGTTTTATTATAAAATTTACAATCCCTTATGTGAATATAATCACTGTTTTCTTCAGCAATTTCATATAATGACTAAGATAAAGTGCTCTAGTTTTTGTGACAATTATAATATCTCTTATCCTAAAGGTCATTTAAGAAAGGAATAGCAAAGTAATACATCAAATTTGAAAAGTTGAGAATTTGTTCATTTACTATTTGTACAGAGCGGGCCCCATTTATGTAATTTTTTGTCAATTTTTACCCATTTTTTCCCATTTTAGAAATAATCATTTATTTTTTTCTTAATTTTAACCTTTTTTTTTCTTAAAATGTACTAAATAAATCTAAAAACCACAAAAAATCTCCATATATCCATTATTTAAAAAAAGCTGTCGCAATCGGATACCTTAACCTATACTAATTAAACAACATTTGTAAAAATTTTTGTTAATTAATTTGCACGGTACTGTATGTACATATGACAGAATCGTACAATTAAGTGACAAAATAGAAAGCAATTGTCCTTGCAATTTTCCATTTTCCGTTCTATAGATAGCGTTGGACTATTTTGTTTTGTTTTGTTTATTACTGTTTATTCATTAATTAAATTTAATTCTTCTAATAAAATAATACAGTAAAAAAATAAATCACATTCTCAAAAATTAGGCCGCTCCAGATGGGATTCAAACCCACGACCTTTGGATTAGGAGTTCAAAGAACTATCCATTACTCTACAGGGACACAACGAGAACGATTTTCCTTTCTACATATACTGTAGGACTATTATATTTGTTTGTTACTATTTTTTTCATTTTTTAATTTAATGAATGAATGAATATTTGAAAAAAAGTATTCACATCAAGTGTCATCCACTACAAGTTTTAAAAAACGTATTTGATCTTGAACGGATGAATAGAAAGTATTTTATTTTTATTATTTTTAAGTACTTATATATAGGGAGAGAGTGAACTAATAGCAGAAATTGAAAAATGATATTATAACTATTCTAATATTTATCCTTAAGTAAAATGTATGTAAAGAAAAATATAATAAAACTATAAAAACATTTTTTATTATACGAACATCAACACTTTCATTAACTTTTCAATTAAAGAGCTCTAGATCGGATATTAAACTTTGCTTAGTTTCAATTAAGTTACAGGATGTCCAACAAAGAAAGCTCCAAAATCACTTAGCCTGTACATGCGCTGTATTTCCAGTGCCTCAACGTTCTGGTATCGATTGATTTTCAGGTTTTGCTTTTTTAAATTAAAATTTAAGGTGAATTAACTGTTAAATAACAGGAAATTATTTCAGATGCCTCTTTAATTGTATTCTATTTATTTGCCTCCCCCTTCAAATTTTTTTTATTCATCAGTTTAATCTTTAGAGGACTTTTGTATTTTTATTCTATTTAATGATGAATGATCTTTCTCCGACCTTCCGTTTCCTGAGATCTTAAATTAATTCCCCAGATCAAATCTCGATATCCATGCGATATTTATTAACAGTCAGCGTCTTTATCGAATAACTTTTAGGGGGAAGGGGAGTTAGTTAAGGATACCAGGTCATGCTCGAAAGAGTAAAGTGCCAAAAAATAAGATTCTTTATTTATGGGACATATATCTTTAAAAATTTCCAATAGAGCTTAGTTCGTTTTTTTTGTGTGTGTGTGTGTGTGATCTTAACAAAGATATTTTAATCAAACTGTAAAAATACTAAAATTATTTTTAAAGTTAAAAAAATTCTGTTTAATTTAAGTTGGACATATTTTTTGAGACCTCATAATACATGCTATCTTTAGGTACCATTTTTTAAAAGGTATCTCTTAAATATGTAAAATATTTTTGCACATATATAAAACAATACACAAAATACAATAAACCTATTTTTTAGTAAAATATTAAGATAGTTTCTCAAAAAAAAAGAATTACAAAGCTTTGTAATTTTGAAAATTTTTATTTATTTTTTTTCCTTTTTCTTTATACATAAAACTATTCTTTTTTAAAAAAAACTATGTACTACTTCGATTAAAAAAATAGGCTCACTATATGCACAGATATCCTGTATAGAAATATAAAAAATTTGGAAACATATGGTGCAATAGTTTTTTTAAATAAAGTGTACCTAAAAGCAAAAAAAATTATGGTTTGTTGAAAAAGTGAAAAAACTAAACATTTGTAAACGTTTATTTATATTTTTGTCAATAACTTCTTTTCATATCTTAAGGTTATTTTATAAACGAACATATAAGTGTTATATACATTTTTAGATTCAGAAAAATATACACTATTTCTTAATACTAAAGTTGAAAAACCGATTTTGTGAATGTGTATAATGTTCTGGTTCCCTTAAAAAATTTCTGAAACCTTCCATTTTTTTTAATTGTAACTCACTCATAGTTTAAATGTTTTGTGAATATTATTTACGAGCTAACTCTTTTATGAAATCAAAACCGTATTTCAGACATGTGTTTAAATGATTAAAATAATTAAATAATACGTTAATGGATTTTAAAAATGCATCAATTAATAGTATGATTTACGGTATAAAAGACAGATTCCTTGTTAAAATAAAATAAAATTTATTTTAAATAGTATCATTTTGTAAATTTCGATAAAAGAAAATAAAGAATATCAAGATAACGTCTTCAAGTAAGTAAAAAACATAAATAATGCTCCAAAAGAAATTGAAATTATGGCAAAATCAAAATAAGTGCTAACACATTTTTTGTTACTTAGTTATGTGTTACCCAACCATAATCCTCATAAATGAAAAAAAGATGACACAGCTTAAATTTTGGATTAAGTACAAAAATTTAAGCTTAAATTTTAGGATTGTTGGAAAATTTAGGAATATTAAAATATATAAAGTCCCAAAAAATTTTTATGAACTTTTTTAAAGAAAATGCATTTTTTTTTTTTTTTTTTTGGTTCTTGTTAAGGGAAAAATCATGTGTGTGTGAGTTGGATTTTTATTTAATAAATGCAGAATGTCTGAAATATTTCCAAACACTACCCTAAGTATCCTTTAGAGTCTGACAAAAAAACTGCTACATTAGAGATTTATTTTTAAAAAGATTAAGTGGTATCAATGTCATAAAATGATGATTTTTGAATGTATATATACTTATATTAAAAAACCTTATATGGAACTTAACACTAGAATGTCCGGATTTTCGATTACCCTTAAACATTCGCCGGTGTCCTTTCGAAACCGTGAAATAAAATATATAAAATAATTGTAATAACTAAACAATTACAGTTCTACTGTTCAGTAGGGCTTAGTTTCAAGACTTTTTAATATTATTTCATGTAATCAACATACTTTATGACCTTTTATATCATAAAAAACTGACGTTGACGTTATGTTTCGCGAAACTTGTTGGATCACTATATTGTCGCAAAACATTTCGAGTCGCAAATATGCCAGGAACATTACTATTATGCGGTATCCATTCTGTGCCATACCTAGCGATATATATATCAGGGTTTATTGGAATATTATCAGTTATATCTACACTTTATTCAGATCCTTCGCAGTCACTTTCACTCAATCTTATGTCTTCATTGGAATCTAAATTAGAACAAGACACACACACAGATCACCACCATCCAATTCAATCTCAGAAGTCTCTCGCAATAAATTAGCAATTTCATCAGGGCTTTGACTTTTTCTATGAGCCATCGTTTCAGGGAGTCTGCACAGCATAAGGCTCGAAAATCGAATGAGTCTTTTTTTTTTATGAGCAGATATAACCACATACTATGTAAACAAACAATTACACACAACAATTTTCCAAAAATAGATTCATTTCTCCTGTTAAACCAATAACACTGCATTCAAGGTCAAATAAATGCACGATAGTACATTGGGAAGTTTGTTTTACTAATGGTAATGATGGACGACAGCTATTTATGATGATAAGTTGCCATGGTGTCGAAATGACACCAGCTGACGCTCTAGATATATTTAGTTGTAAAATTTCTTCTATTTAACCTAGAACCACAAAACTTTTGTGTAAGTACAATGGAAAATAGTTAAAAGACACGAAAAATTTTAAAATTCTCTGCAAAAATGCGAAAAGGAGAACAAACTGAACAGGCTTTGGTGTCAAATTGGCACCGATGGACGTTCTAGTGTTAATAACACATAGTATATTCAATAAATTAATAAAAAGAACTATTGCTTTTAATAAAGTATAATTTAGAATGTCCTATACATTCAGATATGATAAAATTCCTTATGTAGCATTTTTTGTGTGAATTTGGCCTAGATTTCTTCCAATCTTTCATGGAATAGCAATCTTTAATATGATAATTAGTCAGTATACTATTATGAATTTTGTGTAATGAACGTTTAAAATAGGGTAAATAATTTATATCTGGATGTGCAATACGTTAATATTATTCTATGTTGTATTTATTTTATGTTAAAATTGTAATATTCACCAGCAGCTTCGTTAATAATGGCGATTCAATGGAAACTTGGCGAAATCTTGGTGAGTCTTGAATCAAGTTGGTATCAGTTTTGGCGAGATCGCAACTACACTGATTCTTCTGGAAATTTCGGGAGAAATCTACTAATATCATGATCATGACACAAGCGGATGTTTAGAGAAAAATCAGTAGTTCAGTTTTATTTCTGTATGTTGTTTTTTACAGTAAATCGAATGATTATCTTGAAAATATCTATGGAATAGAAATATCCTTTGGGAAGTCATAGACTAACATCAGTGTCTACTATACGAGAGGCTTTTATGGTCATCTTATAAAAAAAATGAATTCCACTGTGCTCTTGAGTATACTCAAGCTCTTACATAAATGGAATATCCATCAAAAAATGTCGTACTGTAATGCACAGTTTGTCTGTAGGTGTAAGATACTCTTCCTGTGACGATACAGTTTTCAAGAGCTCTAATTTTTACTATTTGTGTTTGTAAAAGGAAATTTAATATAAACTTCGCTATTGTTATAAGATCTGATATCGCAAGCTATTTGTGTTTCTCGCTTCGGATGGAAAACAAGGACACAAGGGACTTCGAATGGAAAGCCCCCAAATCGAATTCTGTCACTCTATATGTTAGAAAATTTCAGAGAAGAGTATCTAAACTTCCAAAGTAAGCCTAATGTATCACAAAAAATGGAACGTACAGTAAGTGAATCGATATAAGTATTCGAAATAGTCTTTTAAGCTTTGTGTACAGTTACAGTTTGTTTGGAAAAAATATTTAAATTATTCTTTTTCAGCCCCAAAGAACCCAAGAGGAGTTTTTAGCAGAAAACGCAATGAGCCCGTCACATGACGAATACCATTTTAATTCAAAATTATTCTATTCATTTTTAAGAAGTAGTATCGAAACCACAGGTGGACACTGAACATTTCCCCACGGGGTTTCATCATTCTCCTTTGTAGGGGGGAGGGGCATGATACCCGACAAACCATTGAAATGGGTATTAAAAATCTAAAAATTAAATGGGGGGAAAAGAACCAAAAATTTGCGTGTGAACGGGAAAAATCTATCATTTTTTTCCCCTGCAGAATTTTTTAAATGTGGAGAGGGGGGAAGCTTCCCCGACGGATCTTCCCCTGCTGGCGCCACTTGTGAAGTAAACTTTTAAATATAATTCCAAAAGAAAACAGATTAAGCTGAAAATATAATTCATGAACACAGAAATTTATACATTTATAGAAAATTACAATCACTTATTAGAAATACACTCAATAAAGGAAAATATCAG